TTCTCTGTCATCTACAACTACGATGATGGGAAGTTCTCTAGGTACCTCTTCAGAGATAGGGAAATTGTCATTGGTAGGAAAGGCAGCTAGGAGGTTTGCGATTAATTGGAATTTGATTGCCTTTGGTTGGGTGTACTCAATGTTGTGTTCACTTAATTGCATCATCCACTTCACAAGTCTCCTTGAAAGGGGGGGGCTATCAATGAAGTATYTGATTGCTTCTTGCGATCAACTTCACCTTTTGGCCTAAGATGTAGCGTTTAAACTTCTATTTAGCAAAGGCTAACGCTAAACACTATTGTTCCATGTGTGAGTAGTTCTTTTCCGCCGGCTTCAAAGTTCTACTGGCGTAATAAATTGGACACTCAACACCCTCATCATTCTCCTGAGCTAACAGACATCCTACGACTTTTGAATTTGATGCTATGTACACCCTAAACTCTTGGCCATTCTTTGGAGGTGATATGGTTGGGCCTTTGGCCAGTGTTTGCTTTAGTTAGTCTAAAGCATTCTAGTGTTGTGTTGATCATTTATATTCTATAGACTTCTTGGTCAACTTTAGCAGGGGCATTGCTACATGTGCTAGGCTAGGGATAAACTTTCTAAGGTAGGAGACTTTTCCTATGAAGGTTTTCAGTCGAGACTCGATGTTTGGGGGAGGTAAATCCAGCACTACTTTTACCTTTATTTTGTCTAGGTGGATCCCGATGTGATCAACTCTATACCCTAGAAACTTCCCTGACTGCACTCCAAACACACACTTCGGTGGGTTGAGCCTTAGGTTGAAGGCCCTACATCTAGTGAACACCTTTCTCAGTACGTTGGAATGGTCTTCTCTCTTCTTTGCTTTTACCACTATGTCATCTACATAGCACTTAATCTCCTTATGCATCATGTCATGAAACACACTCGTCATCGCTCTCTAGTACGTGGCTCCAGCATTTTTCAAGCCAAAGGGCATCATCTTGTAGTAGAAGTTCCCAATGGGTGTCCTGAACACGGTGTGTGGTGCATCTACAGGGTCCATATATATCAGATTATATCCAATGTAGGCATTTGGGAAGGAAATCAACTGGTTACCGGTCGTTGAATTAATGAGGATATCCATGTTTGGCAACGGGAACTCGTCTTTGGGGTAGGCCCTGTTTCAGGTCCCTGAAATCGATACAACACCTAGGTAGGGGTGAGAGATATGCTAATATCTGTATACTAACCTTAGTTGGTTGTTTTTCTTTTTGGCAAGAACCACATTAGCTAACCACTACGGGTGAGCGGTTGGTTTGATGAAGCCTACATTCAGGAGTCATTTGACATCCTCTTTGATTTTTGGTGTTATTTCTGGCTTAAAGATCCTTTGTGGCTGTTTCATAGGTTTGAACTTTGGATCGATGCTAAGTGAGTGCTTGACTAGTGACAAATCCAATCCTGGCATCTGGTCGTACGACCAGGCAAAAACATCCTAGGATTCTGTTGTTACGAGAGAAGACACAATTCGGTTTTGTTTGACATGCACTCTATTTTGCGATTAGGGAATAAAAGGTTTTTGTACCTTTCAAAAGGTCCAACAAATTATGTCCTTCCTCAGGTTCTAATTTGGTCGATATGTACAATGGTTTATTCCCTACTCCATCGGTGGCCATGTTGATCTCCTCTAAGGGTTCTTTCATCGCTCTATTGGAATCCTACATGTGCTTAGGGAGTGTGTGGATTTCATCATAATATTTTATCAATTCTCTGTTTTTGTTCCTATTGTTTATGTGATTTTAGTATATTCTTTTGTTGTTAATTGTATACATAAATGTGCTATGTTGTACCTTTGATTTTGATGAGTTCTGTTTTGTATGTTCACAGTCCTTTTGCGATGAGACCATTGCGATGTCCTTTTGTTGATGTGGCATAGTGAAATAAGTCTGATTGCAACAAAATTTAGAATATGCATATTTTTGTGAAGGCATATGATTTATAGTAATTATTCAGTTTTCAACAACTCTAGCATGTAACAAATAAATTCATACCTCGGGGATGGCCTTTTTGGCGGCTGGTGTGTCAACATCCTCGTATTCCTCCACGATGATATAATAACTCTCTCCGTTTCATCGGTGACCCATACACTCCTGGACCGCTTTTTCCTTTCCGGCGCTGAAGGAGGCTCACTTGTTAGATTTGGTACTTGGACACTTTCCACTTTAGCTACTCTGGTCTCACCTTCTTCGTCCAGCTCTATATAGTAGATCACGTCCTAAAGATGGGTCTCTGTTCTGTCGAACGAGACACGAGTAGCCGGAATTCTCACTACACGACCTCTGTGTTTGGCCTTGATGCACTGGTGGTATGTAGATGGGACCAGTTATAGGCCATGTATCAATAGTTAGCCCAACAAGACATGTTATGCTGTCCTCCCTGAGATCACCTGGAACTCCTAGTTAATGGAAAATGGGTCGATAGACACTAGTAGCTCAATAGACCTCTTTGTGACAGATTAGTTTATACTTGGACTGGCTTTATTTTCACAAAGTCGTCTAGCTTTACCTTCTACACAAATAGCCGCCTTAAGTGTGAAGCAATCCATTAGATTATGGTTTGGCGACTAGTGGTAATTGCACCACCTCCCCCCGTGCCTCTCTTTCTCTAGGTCGACTCCTGGTGGTGGTGGTGGCAAATTGATCACACGATCCTCTACTAGTTTGTTCATTATCATTATTACCTCATCCTTGTTGCAGGCGAAAGGAAGAGGGGGTGGAGGTAGCGGACTATTCCGCCGGTTCTGGTTGCCACCGCAGTAATAGAGCCCTTGGTTAGGTCCCCTAGTGTTCCAAGGCCTTCAATCGACGGCATACGCTTCATTCCTCCCGAACTGCAATGCTGTTGGGATAGGTTGGGGTGTGGTACTCTTGATAGTGCGCATTGTCCTCTCCGCGCACTTTCACAACTAACTAAATGTTTCAACTTCAATGTTCTCGATGCCTATCCTGTAGGCTGGGTGCAACCCTTGCACGCAATGTTTAATGAAGCTCTTCTCAGTGGCATGCTTGTCAAAAGACTGAGCAAGTTAATTTATGGAACCTCGTGACATAGGTCAAGAGGTCCTCTGTAGCGCGTTGTTCTGTATTGCATAGGTCTGCCATCATTAGCCTCCCCTCTAAGGTGAACATTTGGACAAGAATCTTTTTGCCAGTTTTGCCCACGAGTCTATACTACCTGTAGTTAGATTGACAAACAAGGTGTATGCAGATTCAGTTAGGGATTTAGAGAATTCCAAGACTTTCATATCTCCATCCAAGGCAAATGATCCCAACACATCTTTGAACTTGTTCACGTGCTCTTGTGGGCATCCTTCTRGACATCATATTGCGGCCACTGCTGCGGTGGGACATAGCCGGAGGGGTATGGCTTGTATAGGATGCGATCAGAGTAGGGCTTCTAAAGTATAAGCGTGAACTGGGTCCTATTTTAGCTCTCCTCCATCAGGCCCTAAACGTACTCCTTCAGTTTGTCGCGATTGATGGGTGTCTTTGTTGCCATGTTGTTTTGTGGGACTATATGGGGGTGTTTAGCGGTGGAGAAGCGGGTTCTTTTGTGTCATATCTTGTGTAGGCATAGGGTTAGTCCTGGGAGGGTGTCCATTCATGTTGGGGTTCAGGTGTTAGTAGGGTGGTGGTTAGCAGGGATAGATGTTGAAGGGCCGACAGGGGTGAAAGGGGAATGTTCGGTTGCAGACGACTTTTGAAGAAGTAACTACAAGGTGCTTCTCATCTCGGCTTGCATCTACTCTATGTGGTCGAAGTGAGTCTCGAAACCGTTCACCTTGTTGTAGAGGATTTTGATGTCAACTTGCTTGGCTGATTCTTGGCCGATCTAGTCTCCAGCCTCCGAGTTAACGTTGTCATGTTCATTGGGCTATTCTTTTGGAATAGGGGAGAAGTGGATTCTACGGGGGGCCATCCTTCGTAATCAAGGAACAACCAGAGATTCTAATGTAAGTGTAGTGGTAAGGCTATGTACGGGGGTCTCCTTGAAAGACGAAGGAAGGCTAAAGACAAAGGATAGGCTAAAGGCTATGACTGACAGAATGCCATTCTTGTTATGAGTCGGGCCTCCTTTTATAGGGGGAGAGATCCCGACGTCTTGAAAGGAAAGAGCCAAAAGAGTTTGATTCCCGTATGGAAAGGGAATCTTTGATTCGATGTCAGTTGCTAGGGGGACACTGCTAGGGTTTCGTCATGTGTCTTATGTGATGTTTACAGTACGAGGTTTCCTTTTGTTTGAGGATTCTCATAATACACGTATGCTACTTCTTTTTGCGAGTCTCTTAAATTGACGTGGCACAGATGACGTCAATACTAATCTTACGTGTCTTTTCTAATCTTACTGGGCGTTCTGTCACAAGTGGCTTCGATAAATCATGTATTTCTTTTGTTTGTCTTTGACCTGCGATGGCTGTGAGTTCATCACAAGTTTGCGATGGTTCTGAGCTCAACACAAGCTCGTGATGGCCTTGTGCTCATTGCAGATCTCTGGCGACTTCAAATTCCTTTTCGATGCCCTAGCTTTGGGTCTTTTGTAGGTCCATGGTGACCCTGAGCTCATTGCAAGCTTGTTTTAGGCTTTGAGCTCACAAATGTGTGTCGAGTCATGAACTTGTCACAGGTGTCTCTGTGACATCGGTTTAGCCCATTCTGTGCTATTGTAGTTGTGGTGAATCAACATGTACCTACACCTGACTTGGGCCTTGGGGATGGGCTACGCCCATTCTATGGAATGGGAGTCCAGATCAACTGCGTTTCAACACCCTACCAACATCATCGAGCACTGCACATGTTATATGTTATGCATGGTAGGTCCCACTTTTGTGGTGGGTCCTAATTTCATGGTGAAATGTGTGGTGTTAGATCAAGTGTTGGTTGGAACGTGTATTGTTGGGAGGAGATCCTAATTCATAGAATGGCTCCCCATCGAGATGAAAACATAATAAGGCAATTTATACACTAACTAGGACAAGTCTTCCAGGAAGAATTTCTAATGCGCACAACCGTTGAAATCGCGAGTAAAATCAGGGTCTCTCTCTCGCTCGCTCGCGCGCGTCGGAGGAAGAAAAGAAACGAAAGAGGTTTCATCCAAAAAAGAAACCCGTTTTATTCTGACTGACACATTGGTCCGCAACCATGATGCTTTTCGCAGTCCGATCCTTCTCCCTCTTCGTCTTCTTCCTCTTCCTTCTCTTCGCTTCTCCGGCCTTCGCTTCCGAGTCGGATCACAAGGTGAAGTACACTGTCTGTCTCTATTTCTTTTGATCTCCAACCCTAATTAGCTTACTCGGCGACGAATTTGGTATTGGAACTCGTACATCTTTTGTTGGGTTTATCGTCTTTCTTCGATTTGGTGCTATCTTCCTCAGATCTGGGCATTTGTTTGTTCGAGACGGGCCAACTTGTGAATGTTTTGGTGATTTGTGTGGAATAATAATTCCTGTGGCTATATATTCGGATGATCTAGCATTATTTGTTTGGTTTAGTTGAAGCAGTCAGCTTCGTGGACAGTGGATCGAAATGGGTTTTTGTGTTTCGACTTCATTATTAACTGTTCGTCTGTTGCAGTGTTCACTTGGTAAATAGGGACTAGTAGTGATATTTGATTAACAAGTTAATACTGTTTATTTGGGGACTAGATCTAGGTTAATTTTTGTTGTGTGTGATCTATGGTTGCAGAGAATTTTTTTTTTCTTTTTTCGTCATTGGTTTGGCCGCATTGTTTGGGATCCCTTTTAGATTCCGTCACTTTCTTGGTTCCTTGTCGTGGAAAGTAAACCTATACCTTTTGAAGATTTGACATCCGCGTTATTTCATCGTTCCTTTCCTCATTCTTTTGGTGATCACTTGTTAATGGGTTCTCCTAGCTATTAGGATCCCTTTTGTGATGCATCCTTGTTTCTTTGCACTAGAAAGCTCTTTCTCTGTAAGTTTCACTGCTATGTTGGGGGTGGGGTTGTGATAAGGATTTTGTCCCTGTTTTTTAATGCTTAAATTATCATTCAATTGACAAGTGCAACCTTTCTTCTTGATTTTGCTGGTTTTCCTTGTGACACTGTATTGTACTCTTTTTCTTTTGAATTTGAGTCGGAGCTGAGTTATTTGGGTTCCATGATATCAAAGAATTTATGTGTGCAAGTGTTTCTTTTTGTCATTATATTAGAATCTGTTACCTGCAATACGTTAATCCACCTCTATAGTCAAACTTCTCAAAAGTCAACAACTGGTGGTGAATTGGAAGCATGGTCATTGATGTCTGTTTCTCTGTTGTATCTTCAGAAAAGTTTTTCTTATGTTATTCTCTTCAGGTTTTTTGCTCATGCAAGACAGCATGATAAAGACTTGTCCTTTTCAAGGCATAAAATATTCCCCTAGATAGTTTAGCATATGTGAACTATAGTATGCCTAAAAATAGGAGTCACATACATGTTTTAATACTTACAAGGTTCCATACCCAAGTTGTACCCCAGCTGCACTCAGCAATTTTTATTTTTATTTTTTGATCGGCATTTAAATTGAAATAGAGCTTACTCCTATCTAGAGGAGGCATGAATAGGAATGAGCTTTACTGGGGGTTGACAGTATAAGAGTTGTGATATATGCTTTTTTCATTTTATTGGTGGGGTTGGTGGGTAATTTATATCATATGTTTTTTGTATTTTCCTCTAGTAGGGCCTTCATAACAGCTCTTGTTTGTGTCTTGTTCCCTCTTTCTTCTCTCTTATCATTCAATAGAAATTTCTATGATTGAACCAAGAGACCATACACCAAGAAGTTCTTTCCTCATGCTTTTCATCTTTGTGTTTGAAAAGGAGGGGAACTTTTGACCATCTCATCATTCATTATTAGATAAATAAGAGGTTTATGAACTCATTATGTAGATCTCATAGACTTCTGTGGCCCTACCACATTTCCTAGTACTATCTTAATGATTGCTACAGAGTGTTGCATGGAATGGACATGGGAGTTGGAATTTAGTGCATGCCATAGAGGATGACGTGGCAAGACAGACAAGAAAACATGGATCTGAGAACATGTTTATAGGAAAGTGATACCATTAAAATAGTTTGTTATTTCTAACTGTATGTTCAGACATATAAAAGGGRATAGACCTGGTTGGATCTGTTTTAAGCCAAAATAGGGCCTGGTCCAGCTTGGGCCACAAAATAACAAGCCAAGCCAATCCTTGAATTAGGCCTAAGAATTTTTTTTGATAATTATTAGGCCTAAGGATTAATGGCCGGCTGTCAACAGCTAGCCACTTACATTTACATAGTATAGTTCCTAGAAATTCTAGAAAGTTTCACTAATTGGAAAGGAAAAAGAAAAATATAAAAGGGCTACCCATATCTGAAAGAGGGACCCAGATTTCTCTCTCCACCTCTTTCTGATCCAAACCTTTTACCTACTTTTCTCTCCTTTCACACCTTCACTGATATACTCTGTCACCAACGTTGCTAGAACTATGAGGGCCTAATCCTTGTTGGTGGGTACACAGTGCAGCCCCTGTAGGGTCCGGCCATTTCTCTTCTTCCTAGCGTTTTCATCCTGTTGCCAAATCCTAGGACCTCTGGAGACTCGATTAGAGTGACCTTGTCCATGGTGTTTACATTGACATAGTATACTTACAAAAGAAGGGTCTAAAATGTTGCCTTTGTTACTTAGTTGGTAGAGATACGATGGTGGTCACACACCTTAAATTTTTTAATGATATCATTCTCTTTTGTGAGGTAGAAGTATCACAATGTATTAGGAATCTAAGGCTGTTAATAGGATGGTGGTCACAGACATTAAATTTTTTATGATATGATTCTCTTTTGTGAGGTAGGAGGATCACAATGGATTAGGAATCTAAGGTTGTTGGTGTAACTTTTTGAAAAGCTCTCTAATTTGAGGATTGATATGGTTCTTACTTACCTTCTATGCTGAAGTTTTGGGATGTTTTTTCATGCCTTGGCCCATTAGTTATTTAGATATTCCTTTAGGTTCTAATCCAAAAGATAATATTTGGAAGATATTTTTAGGAAAATTTTCAAAGAAGCTGGATGTATGGAAGAGAAATTATGTCTCTTTGGGAGGTAGGATTACCCTTATCAAGTACCCATTGGCCAATCTTCCTGTGTACCACCTATAGTGTGAGATTTGCAAGTAGTGGCAAGAAAAATGGAGATGATAATTAGGGACTTCTTATGGGACCTAGGGGTTGGGAAAAATGATCATTTGGTAAAATGGGAAATAGTGTGTTACAAGTATGGCTTAAAATGTCCCTAATTTCCCTAATATTTCCACAACATATTTCTATTTCCATGGGTAGTGACATGAAATTTTACCAGAATCAACATATTGTGCAATGAACACTACTAACTTAAGAAAGTTGAGAGCTGTGGAACTTAAGGTTGCTAGGATCAAGCCGGAGCGCCTTCGAAGTTCTCTCAAAAGATGCCTGGTACAAGGTCTGTTAGCCTCAGAAGATGAAGCGTCGCTCTGGGGAAGACGAACAGAGGTTGAAGGAGCTGRCGAGTCTGCAGGTTGGTGTACACGTGGCCTTCAGGGGCTGGCGGGAAAGCCTGGTGCGTGTGGGCGAGCTACAGAGGAAGGGGAACAGTCGCAGGGGTGCCCCAAGTCTCGAAGCTTTCCTATTAAGGCTTCTAATTCAATTTTTTTTTGATGTTTGGGTGTTTAAAGAGGGTGGCCCGTCCTATGCTGATGTGGCTAAAAGGGGTAAGGTTCGGGTGAGCTCAAAGTCATTGTCTGAACCGACTTTAAGGAAGTCTGGGCCAGATGGGTCAGTGGGTGAGCCCTTTGTTTTGGGTGGTTTTATTAAAAGCCCACGTGACAACTTAAGTCATCACGTGGGGCGGGGCAGGCATGGAGCGATGATAGATGGTAACGTTCATCTATCATCGTCTAGGTCTTTCCCTCTCGATTGTGGAGGGGCTAAGATGGCGAGCAAGGCAAAAGGACACAGTTCTCTGAGTTGGATCCAACGGCTGGCCGGTGACGCGCAAAAACACCACGTTTCTCATCGCCCGAACCCGCGCTATTTGAGAGTTAGAACATAAGAGAAGGAAGAGGCTGACCAAGGTTGGATAAGCTGCGGCTCAGATTCTGACTATGATGAAAGATCGGAAGCTTATGGGAGTTTAGGCAGTGTGGAAGACAGAGCTCTATCTAAAGAACAGAACAAGGATTCTTTCAGCCTGGATTGTTTGTTCATAGGGGATTCGGTGGGGGAGGAAAAGGAGGAGGGGGAGGAGTGGGTGAATGATCTTAACCCAAATTCAGCTAAGCCCTTCCCTAGTTCTAGCGCTTTGCAAGAGGCCGAAAAGGAGGTAGCTTGGGTCATCTTAGAGCTGAACAAGGGTACCTCACAGAGAGGAACATACTTGGGTACAGAAAGGGGTCTTTGTGTTGATACAACAACAGGGATTTTCTTCCCCCAACTCGGGGAGACAGAGTGCTCCAATTTCTCAAAAAAGAAGTGACTACCACTCTTTCGCCTACTTTCTCTCCTCACATCTCTGCCTCAGGTAAATCCCTTAACTCTGTCAATTCAGTTTTGGCTACTAATGAGCGCTTAGTGTCCCTTGTTCCAAATTCTCCTCCCAACCAAGAGTCGGAAGCCCTTGGTCTGAAAGCCATAGTGCGTTTACAAGGGGGGAACTGGGTGAGAAAACTTGCAGAGAGWCAAAAATATGGGAAATCATAGAGAGCCTTTTGAGTGAAGTGGAGAGGAAGGAAATGCGGAGAGGGAGCATGAAGGGGACAAAAAGGGCTGTTGATGGAGGTAATGTGAGAAGGAACGAGAAGTTTCCTAGGAGTGAGGAGAGTGCAACTTTAGAAAAAGAGGAAACTAGTGGGGAAGAGTCAGTTGCAGAGTTTGTGAAAAAGTTGGGGTGTAAGCTGAAGAACCCGAATGACCTAAAAGGCTACATGCAAAAAAAGGAGGACAACAAGATGAAGAGGAGAAAGCTGAGTGAAGCGGAGAGATTGAAAAGAGATATTCTGGGGGACAAGAAGTTTGAGGTGAAAGGGGATAGAAGAAAAGGGTCTAAATAGATCTTGGAGGAGTTAGGGTTRAGGCTAAGAGTTTTCAATGAGAATCCTAAGTTGGAATGTGAGGGGGTTGGGCTGCATTAGGAAGAGAGCGACAATTAAAGAGGTAATTAAGAAGTTTAATCCGGATGTGGTAATGCTTCAGGAGTCCAAAAGAATGGATTTTGATTGCAAAT